ATTCAAGGCCAGCCTGGTCTACATAGTGAGTTCCAGGACAGCTGGGGCTACAGGGAGACCCTGTCTCAAAAAGACAAAAAGAAAAAAATTAATTAATTAAAAATAAATAAAATAAAATATTTTTTAACAAAAGCCTTGGCCTAAGCCAGGCATGATGTCTTACTCTTGTAATTACAGCATTGTGGAAGTTGAGTTAGTAATACTGCTGTGAGTTCAAAACCAACCTGGTTACATAGTGAACCAGTGTGTGCTACAGGGTGAGATCCTGTATGCACTAAACAATGCACACAGAAACCCTTATTTCCTGGAACAATATCAGCAACACACCTGTAACTTAGAACAGATCTCCTCCCATGTTGTCCCTTCTTTCTCTGATGCTTCCAGTCCCTCTTGATTTATACTAGGAGATCACCTGCTACCTCTTACAGCTAGTCCAGCTTTCCATCTGTTCACAAGTTCTCACTCTGTAGGGTTTTTGTTTTTGTTTTTGTTTTTTTTTTCTCTTTTTCTTTGGTCTTTTTAAGACAAGGTGTCCCTGTAACCACAGCTGGCTTCAAACTTGTAGAACTGGCTGGCATTGAGCTCACAGAGATACACCTGCCTCTGCTTCCCATGTGTTGGGATTGAAGGTGTGCACCCACCATGCCCAGCTCATTTTGTTGTTTTATTTGAGATGGGTTCCTGCTATATAACCCAGGCTGGCTAGTTTTGCTCATGATCCTGCCTCAGGTTTCAAAGTACTGGGATTACAGGTTTCATACCACCACATTTGATTTGTGTTTTTCACTAATTATTTCAGTGTTGGAATTTGAGTACAAAAATTGTATCTGATAACAGATTTGGTAATACAAACCTTTAAAAAAATGTTTAAAACTGAGTTGGGTGCAGTCTTAAATGCTTGTAATTCCAAGTCTTGGGAGAATGGGCAGTAAGACCTGGAGTTCAACGCCAGTCTGGACTACATAGAAATTCAGGCCTTAGGGGGCTGGAAAGATGGCTCAGCGGTTAAGAACACTGGTTGTTCTTATAGAAGACCCAAGTTCAAATCCCAGCACCCACATGGCAGCTAACAACTGTCTGTAACTCCAGTCCCA